TGATGAAGACGAGCAAATATTGTGTGATGAGGTACCCTACGTCCTGGATACAACTCAGCATACAATCGTCGAGCTTGCCGACCATTTCCATTACTTCGACCATAGACAAAATGCATGTCTGACAATTCCGCATTTGTAAAATTTTCCATTCTTTTCGATAAAAGAAAAATTAATTACTTATTAACACTAATGTTATAGCAAACTAAAAGCTTAATAAATTAATAATGACGAAACGCTAATTTGACATTTCTTAAAAATATTCGTATTTAACAGACAAATGTTGACAGTAGCCTACTAGGTAATGTATTAAAGAAATAAAAAATACGCGTTAAGATGTTTTATTTTTTTGCATCAAAACGGCGCCCCATACGAAGAAAAGGCAAGAGACTTTTTGTCACAAATTGAACGAGAAATTCAAAAATGATTTTTAATTTGTAATATCTCAGTGGCGTAACATTTTTTCTTTAAACAAATTTTGATTATTACCCGTACGCGCGCCAATGATGAACATAAAATTTTTAATTGCATGTCAAAAAATGCGCAATAACTACCTCCTAAAACCCACCAAATTTCATTTGCACATCTCGACTGGTTTCAGAGCAATAAATTAAATCGTCAGTTTTTCAGAAAAACTTTGACACCCCGTATCTCGGAAGACAAATCATTTGTGGACATACGTTTATAAGCAAACTGCCATTATTTTCTCATGTAGAATCACCCCTTGAAATTTGTCGGACTTATTTACTAACACCCTGTATATTTGACTTTAAAAATTATTTTGCACAAATATGTACAACGCTTTTCAAGAGGTAATTTTTTATAATTCTGGTCAAAATTTAATCATAATGAAAATTCTCTAAGTGCTTCATCATCAAAATATGACTAGGTAGTTTAATTTTCAGTCAGTTTCAACAGTCGTCACTACACCACGCCATCTTTATAGTGACAAGAATACCACTGAACAGGTCAAAAGACAAAAAATTATATATTTAGTAAAAGCTGAAATCGAATTTGGTTAATTTTATCAAAACTTTTCATTTCTTTACCTTAAACCAAAAAGGATCTCTAATGAATAAATGAACATAATTAAAGATTGGTTTTATTTGTACATTTTATTACAAGTATACAAAAGTAAACACAATTGACACTTGCTTATCATACACAAATATTTACTAGATGCACAAGATTGTGTCGTCTATGCTAAATTTATATGGACGAAATGACCTATTTTGAAAGCACAGTAATTTATTGAAAATATTTCCCTGTAAAGAATAGGCTTGTCATTATAATAATTTTTCTTTTAACAAATTTTGAGAATGTTTATCGTATACTTTTCAAATACGTAGTAAATATGTATGCCATCCTGGTCGAATCTCCCGTACTTCGTCACATTAATGGCCCACTGCACAACAAATGGAATATGATATGTACATAATACCATAATACCCACACCCGTTTACTTTAGTTTTTAATGGTACATTAAATATAGGCACTTACCTCATTAAAATCAAATTTATGTAGTTTTAGAAAATTGAGTGTGTCTGACTGAAAATAAAAACTCCTCTGTATTGTTGGAAAACATGCAGGTAAAATATAAAAGTTATACATTTTTCCATGATAACTCCTATCATTTGGATTGAAGGTAAATGTAGTTATTCCCACTTGAATAGGAATTATCTGAGCTAAATTTATTCTTAATTTAGAGTACCTTTCATTAGGACTATCAAACAAACTGAAATATAAACATTCAATTAAAAATTGTCTGTCAAATAATATCGAGAACTTACCTAGGAGTTTTAAGAGGGTGTAATGCAGTAAACTCTAGATCAACAGATATTAATTTTGCATCTTTTATAGAGTTTTCAATTTCGGGTAGTTTTGTGTAGAAATTTTTAATATTAATGTTAGACATTTTCGTTTTTAATTAAGATTTTACAGTTAAACAAATTAAACCTTTTTAGAGGTTATGTATTTGTCATCTTTCAGTGCTGCCAGAATAATTTTTTTTTAGGGTCCAAAACAGTTACGAAAATGACCTAGATTTAAATACATTAAATTTGGCTTAAACCACTTTCTTCAAGAAATAAGAACCTGATAAATTACCTTCCCTCCTTTATCTTGCTTAGTTTAGTTAAATGAAAATAATTTTAAATACAACTGAACTGAACAAATTGCAATAGTGGACCGAGAGATTGGTGTCAAAATCTCCCGTGATCGGATTAATGGCCAATTTTGTTTTTAATGTGTTGGTCGCAGAGGGAGGTTTCCCGATAGGCCGCGGTCATTTTGGGCCAGTCCGCGCTGTAGAAGGATGAAAAATATTTTTCTTTCAAAAAACGGGCCGCTTAATGAATGTTTCCCGGGCCTGTTCATCTAGCCAGTCCGCCTCTGGTTGGTCGTATGTTATATAACGGGGTTTCGGAGTTTGCTGACACCCCTTGTGGGGCAGGGGTTTGGGGTGCGGGGGTAAATACGAAAATCGCCCCGTGTTCAGATTAATGTCGCCGCCATTATTCCATGGCTAGAAATTGGCCTCAATGATTTGGGATCGAGGGGGATTATCCCTCTTTATCCTGCCTCATCTCGTGTAGGCCTGGACAGCCTTCGTAGGTGGGCCCCATCCGTCGTCTACCCCGACCGCAAATGCGGCCGGTGTAGGCGCTTTGTGGGACCTCCTTTTGTCCTGGCTGGGCCCCGCCGGCTAGGGCCCTTTCTTCTGGCGCTCTTCTTGCTTCGCCGGCTCGTCTGTGTAAACCCCGGGGGTAGTGTCATGTTTATGTGTGGTATGGTTGGGTAGGGTAGTGCGGCTATGCAGCCTGGGATGCGCTTTGCTAAGG